TTTTTTTTTGTACTTCGAGTTAAAAAAAGAAAGAAAAAAAAGGAGAAGAAGAAAAAAAGCAGAAGAAAAAAGGAAAAAAGGTGATAAAAAACTGTAAAAAGATGAAAAGATACAACACGTCCGAGAAAATAAGTAAAGCAACATGACGAACGATATGAAAATTATTATAAAAAAAACATATAACAAATTGTTTTTACCTAACGAACCAGGGTCATTTTATAAATAGAAAAAAAAATATACGATAATAATAAAAAAAAGGAAAAAAAATTTTTTTTTTTTTTTGAATCTGTTTAAAATTTTAGTCTCGTTCGTAGCCAGCACAAGTGCGGTTCAAGATCTGTTATATCCTTTTTTCAACCCCTTTTTTTCTTCTGCTTCTTTTTTTTCTCCAGCATCATCATCATCATCATCATCATTATCATCCTCCCTTTCGTTTTAAAAACATTTTCTTTTTTTTTTTTTGTAAATAATTTTAAATATTTTTTTTTTTTTTACGCCGCGTTTAATTTTATTACTATTATCATTATTATCGATTCGATTTTAATAACGACAAGTTTTCCAGCATCCCTGACGAATTATTATTTTTATCCTATTTTTTTTTCTCGAACGGTAATTATATTTCTAATGATGATTTTTTTCGTTTTTGGAATTCGTCTGACCTTTTGGTTATTTAATTAAAAATGGCGAAGTTGTTATCATCATCATTATCATTGTTATTATTATTATTTATTACCGATAAAAATTTTTTTGGAGTAGATTCACTTATTGAAAATCAAAAAAAAAAAAAAAACTGACAAGTAATCATTGAGTAAAAAAAAATTTTTGCACGCGAAATTTCGAAATCCAGTTGTGATAATAATAATAATAATAATAATAATAATAATAATAATAATAATAAATCTCTGTACGCCTGATTTTAAATGTACACCTCCAATTACTTTTGATTGGTCGATACATTTTAGCATATTTTGCAAAAAAAAAGAATCAAAAATACTCGTGATTGGTTAATTTAAAGTAAGAAAACTAAACCTCTTTTTTCTTATATTTTTCTGATACATTTTATAATATTTTACCATATTTTTAGTGTAAAATTTTAAGATTGAAAAAATTCTGAACTGCCTTCAGATTTCCTAAGTTTATAGGTACAAAATTGTAATTTGTATAAATTAAAGATGAAATGGGGAAATAGTACGATAATTAAGTATAGTAAAATAATTTTTTTAAAAAATTATATTCTTTTATTAGGTACACATAAAAATTCACATCTAAAGATAATAATGACTGATTCATAATTGGATAAATACAGAACCAAAAGGCAAATATTGTTTTATTGTCGACCTGAGTCAGCTCTGTCAAGTGCTGACCTTGTCAAAGGTTGTGAATCTCACTTTTCCTGTTTCCGGTCACTCCAAAGAAGTCAGTCACTGACTGGAGTACAGGCAAGAATTAACTTGTTTCCATCAAGTAAGATGGTCTCAGTGGCAGATTTACAAGAATTGCTGTGACGTCATAAGTTATAAAAATACGAAGTCTATTCATTAGGCATGCAGCATCATCACTGATATTTAGGCATTTATTTCGGTCGGGTAGAAACCTGGAATAAATGTTGAAAAAGCTTTGACACAAACATTAAGACGAATCGTCGTGATAACGAGTGAAAATAATAATAATAATAATTTAAAAGCTTTTATTTAACCTTTCACGATAAAACATGATCCTGCACTTTCAGGTTCACAAACGTGAAAATTAGTTTTTTTTTATGTAAAAAGGAAACAAGTAAATTTGTTTTTCTTTTTTTTGTTGATTGCTTGAAACTTTTCTCTCTCTCTTTCTCTCTTTTTTTTTCTTTTCTTCCGTCGAATTTTTCGATTACTTTCGAAAAGGAAAAATAAAATTGAAACCTTTGAGACGAGTTTTTGATCCTTTATTTCATTTGACAAAAAACGCCATATTGTCGTGACACGGGAAAATATTTTAATATTTTACGTCTTCGGATGAGTTGTTAATAAATATATATATATTTCTTTTGGCGACGATGACGACGACGACGAACAAAGACAGATGAAATAATGATGATGATGATGATAATAATAATAATAATGATAATAGATATACAAAAAATAAAAGGAAATAAGATTAGGAGTCGACCACAGAATTAACAGACGAAAAGAAATATATTCGGCCAGGGATGACCGTTGACCACAAAAACCAAAATTTTGAAAGTTTTTTTTTTTTTACGATAAGATAAAAAAAAATTAGCGGTGGTGGTAGTGGTGGTGGTGGTGGTCGTCGTGGTGATGATGGGGATTTCCGGTCCTTATAACCATTTATTTTACTTAATGAATCTTTTTTTTTGAAAAAAAAAAAAAAAAAACAAGTAATAAAAAAAATAAAAATAAACAAAACGATTAAGAAAATATGGCAACTTGTTCTTCAATTTTAAAAGGGTGAACGGGGAAAAAACCACCCCTTTTTTTGCGTATGCTACTGAAGGGTAGCAAATGATTCTAAACTGTAGTAGTAGTAGTAGTAGTAGTAACTTTTTTTTTATGCGAGAGCTATTTTCAATTTTTTTCTGTCTGTTTTTTTTTTTTTGGTCACTTAACACTTGCGGTTGACAATCACCCTGTTAAATTGATTTTTTTATCGTTTTTTATCCCCCCTCCCTCCTACCTCCTCCCCCCTATTCAACCCTTAAAGTTTTATAAGTATCTAATAGCCTTTCCTGCTGTTATATCACGGTCTAAAATCTTAAAAAAAAAAATGAAAAAGAGGATTAAAAAAAAAGAAGAAAGAAAAGAAGGAAGGAAGGAAGGCCCAAGAGAAAAAGTAATGGGGGTGGGTGGGGGTGAGGGAAGAAGGAAAAAGACGTTTTACCCATTATTCAACCATTATCCAAGATGAAGAAGAAAGATGGTGTGCGGAGGAGGAGAAGGGGGTATTGGTGAAAAGATGTAAAAGAATAGAAAAAAAAGACTCACTGAAAAAATCGTTTTTTGCATACGAAATTTTAACGTAGCCATCACGTGACCAAAACGGTTAGCCACGTAAATCGGGGGGCAAATGGAAATCATCACTTCTTGCGTTTTCTCTCTCTCTCTCGAAAATAAAAAAAAATTTTTTTTTACTGATTTCGCCACTGATTCGCCATTGACTCGTGTAATTTTTTTTCTTTCTTATCATAAATAATAATAATAATAATAAAAACGAAAAGTATTCAAAACCGGTTTAATGGTTTCCCATTATAGGGGGGGACGTTTTCATGTAGAATAACGTGGGGACACCGACGGGAGGCAATATGGGAATCTCCCCTCCCCTCCCCCCTCCATTTCAAATTGCATTTCCTTATTGTCGCGCATATTACCCATAAAAAAAAAAAAACCAAACAACCCCAACGTGTCACGAGGAGAAACCCTTAAAAAAAATGAAAAAAGGTTTGATTGAATGTAAAAAAAAAAAGAAAAAAGGAAAAAAAAATTTTTTTTTTTTACTTTTTCCCGATCGGAAGGAGAAAAAAAACGGAGGGAGGAGGAAGATGATTGGGGGGAGGGAGAAGAGGGGGGAACGACTTTCTCACCTGAAGCTGTTCAGGTTCGAAAAGGACGTGATCGTTTAACTTTGAAAAACGATAATGATGGTTTTATTATCGGCTACCGTCTGGTGGTTGGTACGTTGTCACGCATTCTCCCGTGCCTGAATGAAGAAGGTACGTGCCACCGCATTTAAATATACGATCCCACCTTGTTTTTTTATACTTTGATAGACAGCCAGAAAATTTTTTCTTCTCTCTTTCTCTCTCTCTTTTTCTTTTTCTCGTTCTGAGAATTTTCCGCACCTGAAATAAAAAAAAATCTTTTTTTTTTACCACCATTTTAATAATCAACAGGTTTCATAACTTTTTTTTTTTTCGTTTGTCTCTCTCTCCCCCCCCCACTTTTTTTTAATATCTCCTGAATATTTTTTTTTCTAGAATAATTTAGAAAAAAAATTTTTTTTTAATGAAAAATGACGACGAGGATGTGATGACGACGACAAAGACAGCGACCGTGACATTCATTTCCTTTTTCAACCTTTTTTTTTCCCCCCCCCCCTCGTCATTTTTCCGATCCTTATGTTTTTCTTTTTTTCGGGAGGCGGAGGAAGGGTGTTATTAAAACTTTTTCTTCTTCTTCACCGGAACATGGTTATAACATAAATTTTAACCTTTTTTTTTATTTTACGTCCGAGTAAATGCGGTTACAAAAAAAAAAAAAAAATTTTTTTTGTTCGTTTGTTTGTTTGCCTCATTACCTAATAATAATAATAATAATAATAATAATAATTCGATACGAATAATCCGCATGTATTTACGTTTGTTTTGTTATTTACATAAATTAGGCGGATTGATTTGAATAATGATAAGGGAGGTAACTTTTCTTTTAAAAAAAATTTTCTTCGTTATCATTAGACCGTGCGAATTTCAGTCTTTTGTTTTTGTAACAAACAATCGATTTTCAATGATGCGTAAAATCAGGTTCAAATCGATATTGTTAGAAAATATTTATTTATTGATTTTTTTTTTATTAAAAAAATTTTTTTATCGCTTACCGCGTAGAAACGCAAAAATTTATTTATTTATTTTTTCCTGGAACTTTTTCCAAATATTTTTTTTTCACGACTTTTTTTTTTTATATTAAAACGATAATGATAATAATAATAATAATGATTATTATTGAGTAAAAAGCCAAAGAACAATAAACTTAAACCAGTTTTATAAAAAAAAAAAAATACAAAATCAGATAATGCCCCCATTTTTTTATTTAATTTTTTTTTTTTTTTTGTCAAAAGAAAATAAGAGCAATAGAACGCGGAACTTTTTTTTTGCACGAATATCATTGTTTGTTTGGAAAAGACAACTTAAAAAAGAACATTGACGTTATCTGTAATAAAAAAAAAAGCTGGAGAAAAAAAATATATAAATAAATTAGGCTGGAAAAAGCGACGGAAAAAAATTTCTGACGATGACATCATCAAATAATCCGAACTCTATTAGAGTCGGTAAAAAAAAAAAAAAAATTTTTTTTATGCTCGTATTTCATGGTTTAATTGTGTTTTTGTTTGTTTGTTTGTTTGTTTCAGAACCGAGCAACTACGTTTGTTCTACGTGTAAAGTTCGATTGAATTCAGCTTGGCGTCTCGTTCAACATGTTCAACACGTTCACGGAGTTAAAATATACGTGGAATCGTCGAGTTCCAACAGCTCTCCGGGTGGTACCGGTAAACCTGGGAGCAATAGTAACAATCACAGTACAAGTAGCACCTCCTCAGGATGTTCTAGCAGTAACAGCCTAAAAGAATCTTTGGGAGAAAAGATATCTCACTCGGGAAACGCAAACGGAGGCGCAACAAATTTAGCCGGGGCGCCTCTTTTATCTCTTCCCGGCGCTCCCCGGCACTCTTCTCATCTTCCAACTCCGAATTCTGGGATCGATCCATTGCTTCACAGTACTTTTTCCGTCGGGGGTTTGCTTCGGATGGATTCGAGTCGTCCCCCAACTTTCCCACCGACTTCTGCTTCAAATCCATTGAATCTTACACCTAACATTTTTGCCAGACCTAGTCATGATCATCCTTTTCGCATGGATCAACTCGTATCCGAGCAGTTTAGATTAAATCAGCATCACGGTCTCAATCTGGCTGCTGCTGCTGCCGCTGTGGCAGCTGTTGGAGGCGTACCACCCCAACATTCCCCCTTCGGTCCTCCGACCGACCGTTCGAGTCTTTCCAATTCAACTCCCTCGAGAAGCACACCCATTCCTCCTCCTCCTCCACTTTCTCTCGCTTTAGAACCCCAACTTGATTTTTATTCCCAAAGACTTAGACAATTAGCGGGTACCACTAGTCCTGGAGCAGCTGCTATAGTCAGCAATTCAACTCCATCGCCTAGGAAACAAATTTCTACGCCTCCATTTACCTCGCCCAGCATAACTCATCCTCCTCAGTCAAATTCTGCTAACTCTATAATTAGTAATAGTAGTAATAATAACAATAACAACAACAACAACAACCATAATAATAATAATAATAATAACAACAATAACAACAACAACAACCACCACCACAATAACAATAATAATAATAATAATAATTCAAACAGCAATAATAACAATAATCCATCACCTGGTATTACACATTGCTCGCAATCCATCTCTTCATCTGACAAGCCTTCCATCACTCCTGATGCACCTACCGGCAGTCCGGCTTTACTCACTGCGACTCCTAAATTGACTGTAAATTCTCTAAACAAAGAAGAAGCGACATCAACCGAAAAAGTACGTTCCTGTGAGTTTTGCGGTAAAAGATTCAGATTTCAGAGCAACCTAATAGTTCATAGACGCACTCATACCGGAGAAAAGCCATATAAATGTTTAGTTTGCAATCATGCATGCACGCAAAGTAGCAAATTAAAACGACACATGAAAGTTCACAAGAATCGGGGAAACGGGGAGGCCGGTGGCGAAGTTGGAACTACGAATGGAGGCAGTTCCAATTCGACACCGGAAAACAATACTAACAATTCAGGTTCGGATGATGATAATTCGGAAGTCGGAGAAGAGGAAGAAGAAGAAGAGGAGGAAGAAGAAATGGAACTCGAAGAAGAAGAAGAAGAAATTAACGATGACGACGACGACATTAACGGAGATGCTCCGGAAGACTTGACGACAAAATCGACTTCGAGCACTCCCAACAACAACACGGATTCAAATCAAAACAACAAAATAAGTAGAACGAGTCAAAATAACAATATATTGAGGCCGAATTCATCCGAAAAACCATCTAATCCAAATTCATTAGTCGGAGAGCTTATGGACAAATTCGGATTGTCAAACATTCAACAATACAGCGAGGCTTACAAACAAGCACTTCAGGAAAGCGTAAACAATCGCATAAGGGTAAAAGACGAAGCCATGTTGCACAGGAGTCCCATCATCGGAGAAAATAATAACATGGACAAACTCTCACCGGGTCGTTACGAAAAAGAAATCGAAAGACTCGAAAAAGAGAGAGAAAAAGAAAGAACTCAAAAAGATCGGAGCCGAGAACGTAATCATATAGAAAATGGAAACGTTTTCGACAAAGCCTTGTTGGAAAAATCGGCTGCTCTGAGATTTAGAGAAGAATTTGCTAAAAATTTAATGACGGGTCAACCACCCATGGATTTAGGTCATCCACTTTTCCGACCGGGTTTTGACAATCCATTCGAAGCCGCCAACAAAAGAATGAAAATGGATTTGGAAAATCATCACATCGGAAGGCCCGGAGAAAGAGATAGTCTTTACGCTGGACTATGGCTTCCGGCCATAGCCGCAGCACATCATCGTGACATGTTTCACACGGAAAATTTAGATCTTCTCGCGAGATCGAAGGGAATGGAAAGTTCTCTCCTTAAACCAAACGGTCCGAAACCGGGGCCTAGCGCTTCGAGTTTAGCCGCCGCGGCTGCGGCGGCCTTAAACTTAGGCATGCCACCTTCTGGACCTCCTACGACGCACATAAAAAAAGAAAGTTCCCGAAGAAACGACACATGCGAATACTGTGGTAAAATATTTAAAAATTGTTCCAATTTAACCGTGCACAGGCGCAGTCACACAGGGGAAAAACCTTACAAATGTGAATTATGTTCCTATGCATGCGCTCAAAGTTCCAAATTGACCAGACACATGAAAACCCACGGTCGACTTGGGAAAGACGTATACCGGTGTAGATTCTGTGAAATGCCATTTTCGGTTCCTTCAACATTAGAAAAGCACATGAGAAAGTGCGTCGTGAGTCAAAATAAAAACGGGGGCCACATAATGCCCATAATGAACGGGGAAGAAGATTCAGTATCAAGTGCGGCCAAGGACAGCACATGACTTTTCTCATGGGGTGGTTTCCCTAATTTTTCTCAACATTTACCACCTCCCCTCCAAAACAATGTTATTTATTAGTTAGCCATTTTTAAATATTTACTTGTTATTATTATTATTATTATTATTTTAATTTTTTTTTTTGCTTGTTGTGTTGTTCGGTTACTATTTCTTTTTTTTTATTTTTATTATTTTTTGTTTTTAAATATTACGTTTTTTTTTTTTTTTTTTTTTTTTAACAAACAAACAAAACAAACGATTTTTGTTTGTTGTTTCTTCTACACACACCCCCTCCCATTTACCTCTCCCCCCCTTTGAAAAAAAATTTAAAAAAAAAAAATTCTTTTTCGGTCCCTCACATTTAGTGAAACTGACCCCATTTTTAAATAAATATTATATACATTTGTACATACCTACAATAATGATAATAATAATAATAATATATATTTAATAATAATGATAATGATAATAATAATAATAATAATAATAATAATAATAATTGTAATAAATTAAGTTTTGACGAATTTTTATTCCATAGATAACAAGCAAACGATATAATAATCCACAAAAAAAAATTTTTCCGGTCCCTCCTCCCTTCTTCCCTCCGACACTCTCTTCTTTCCCACGCTCCCCTCACACTTCTCCTCCTCATCGCAAATAATAATAATAATAATAGTAAAAAGAATATATTTCGTCAATTTATTTATATCGTTTCCAAAAAAAAAAAAACGTTGAAAACTTAATATTTTTTTTGTTTTATCACTTATAGACGTTACTTAATAAATATATATTATATTGAATATATAATATATTCAATATAAGTATAAATATATATATATATAAATTAAATGTATATTATAACGAAAAATTTTCAGGGTATTTAAAAAAGAAAAAAGAAAAAAAAAAAGAAAATTTTTGAAAAGTTAAATTTTCGACACTTTCTCTCTCTCTCTCTCTCTCTCTCTCTCTTTCTCTCTCTCTTTCTCTCTGTCTTTCTCTCTCATTTCTCATATTGTTAGTTTCAAAAAAAAAAAAAATTTTATTAATAAATTATTAAAAATATAAATTTTCTTATCGATATAAAAGAAAAAAAACCTTAAAAACCTGGAATTTTCCTGAAAATTTTTTTTTTTTTTTTTTCATATAAAAAAAAAAAAAAAAAAAAAAAAATTCAGGAAAATTATTTTTTAAAAAATTTTTTTTAATTTTTAAAAAAACCCTACCGGTGATTAAATTTAACATTAAGCGTATAATTTTCTTACGATACGGTATTAAAAAAGGTAAAAAAATTTTATTTTATGTTTTATTTCCCGTACCGAGTTTTTAAATGTATTTAATGGTATTAATGGTTTTGACATGTTTTGAATTTAATTTTTTCTTTCTTTTTTTTTATTATTATTATTATTTTGACGATGAGAAAAGAACTCAGACAGAAAAAGAGAGAAAGAAAGAAAGAAAGAGAGAAAGAAATAAAAAAGATGGAGGGATGAAGACAACATATGAAATAATAAATAAATAAATAAATCAAAATCAATGAATTGATTTTCAATATTTTCATTTACGTATACATAAAAAAAAATAATAATAATTTTTTTATGTATGTGAAAAATATCATTCGCGATTATTGTTGATAACATCTACAATTATTTATTTATTTATTTACTTATTTATGTGTTAATGACGTCAGAACTCAATTTATTAATTTTCCTTCTTCTTTTTTTTTACACAATTTATTATTATTATTATTATTATTATTATTATTATTATTATTGTTAACAATAAAACTTTAAATCATAATTTTATTTATTTATTTATTATTAATTTTAAATAAATAAATGAAAAAATAAATAAATAAATAATCCGAAACATATCCTTTTTTTTATTACCATCATCATCGAAACTTTTATTAATTATTTATTTATTTTATTATTATTGTTATTATTATTATTATCGAACGGGCATTTACCAAATAAAAAAAAAATTTTTTTTTTCATTTATGTACATAAAAATCAAACCAAATCAATAAGAAAATAAATAAATAATAAAAATTAAAAATTTTTTTTTTTCAATATTGTTACATATTAAGTTTATTTTTTTTATTAATTATTATTATCATTATTATTATTATTATTATTATTATTATTATTATTTTAAACGTTTTATTATTTTAATAGTTTACATTATTGATTTATTAAAAAAAAAAAAAATCAATTTTCACTCGCATAATATACATAATGTTTTTTTTTTTTTAAATTAATAACTATAAATAAATTCCTTATTAATTTTTATTTGCAACAAAAAATTTCACGCGTTGTGAAATAATAATAATATTAATAAAAATTATTAACGAATTTATTTATTCGTCTTCATCATCATCATCAACATTATCATTATTATCATTATCATCATCAAATTTAAATAAATAAATAAATAAAAATTTGTGTTTAGAATTTTAGCGAAATTAAAATGTTGTTAATTTTTTTTTTCTTTTCAATAATGTTTTTCATTATTAATAATAATAATTAAAATTAGGTAAAGTTGTAAAAAAAAAAAATTAATAAATAATAATAATAATAATAATAATAATGATATGAATAATAATAATAATAAAAAGAATTGATTGGTGAATAAAAAAAAAAAAAGACTAATTTATTTATGTATCGTGTACAGTAGAATTCGTTGTGTAGTTTAATAATATATATATATATAAATGTAATAAATAATTTTTCAATTATTATTATTATTATTATTATAACTATTATTATATACATTTTGAAATATAAATATATAAATAAATATATATATATAAAAAAATTTATTAATAATAATGAAAAATAAAAAATAAATAAATAAATCATACATATGTGGTACCAAATATTTAAAAAAGCAAAAAAAAAAAAAAATTTACACAAAATCCTATTTTAGCGTAGGAATCATTTTATTTTAAGGGATGAAAACATTTTTAATAAATAAACTTTTAATAATAATAATAATGATAATGATAATAATGATAATTCGTGAATAAATGTTTTTTTTTCTTCTTCTCTGTTTATAAACAAATAAATAAATAAATAAAAATAAATATTTAATTATACGTGTTATTATTTATTCTCTTACCTGTGTCCAAAAATATTTTTAAAAAATTAATCGGCTACGATTAATAAATTTTTATTAAAATAAAATAAATAAATAAGTTTTGATATTTGATTTATAAAGCGTGCAACGTATTTAAAACGAACCCGGTTTTTTATTTTTGTTTTGTGCCGCCATCTATCATACATTTTGTGAACTAAAACAACTGTTTCCTTTTAAGCAAAACAATTTAACTCCGAAAAATTGACCCTTTTTTTATTTATTTTCATCGTTCGAGGGTTATTATTTATTACTTTTGAGAATTGATTCCAATTGATTAAAAATAATTATTAAAATAATAATAATAATAATAATAATAATAATAATAATAATAATAATTTAAAACAATTATAGGAATGATATGTAATGATAATGTAATTTTTTTTTATTTACCATATTCCAAGATGTTTTTTAACTTTATATATATATGTATTTACAAAATATAATTGAATTATTTATTTATTTATTTATTAATGCACGCGACTAACGATAATATATTAGAAAAATTGTTATTATCATACTAATAAGATTATTTGGGTTGTTTTTTTTTACAAATGTCTGCTACAAAATGACTTAATTTTTTTTCAAATTGCATAATGCATTTTAAAAAATTAAAAATAAATAACAGAAACAAAATTTCGATCGCGACTCTTATCATTATTTATACAATTTCACAAAAAAAATTTTTTTTTTTTTTTAAATTCAAGCCAAAATGAAAAAAAAAAAAAAAAAAAAACAAAACAAATATCTAGTGTTAGATTAAACAAGTGAAATATTTAAATTAACCGGATAGTTTTGTTTTGTATTATTATCACTTAATATAATTATCTAAAATCTATTTTAAATAGCAAACTAAAAACGTTATCAAAGTCATAACACATGAGTAAACAAGGAAAATATTTATTTCTTATTGGCTTTCTTAAATATTTTAATCCTTTTTATATATATGTAATATTTCCGTTATACTTACTTTATTTAAACTTAAAGAAAAAAACTAAAATAAAATTTTTCACTCTTTTTTTTTTAAATATAAAAAAAAAATTTTAAATTAAAACAACAACAACAACACACTAAATAAAAATAACACTACTAAAATCAAAACAACAAAAAGAAATAAAAAAACTAACGTAGTCATTGTTAAATTAACAAGCTATACTTTTTGCAATACATAAATAATATTAATTTTGCCTAAACCTACAATTGCAGGCGTACGAATACACACATAAACAAGTCAGAAGAATTTTTTATTATTTATTAATATTATTATTTTATTTATTTATTTTATTTCTTATTAATATTATTATTATTTATGAAATCTCTACTAAAGTTTAATTTTTTTGTATTTTATAATACAAAGAATGGAAACTTTTAACCTTCGAGTCTGTGGAAAATAAATTAAACATGGTTAAAAAATAAAATAAATTGAAATGAAAATGTCGTATGCAAATATTTTTTTTTTTTTTGATATTAAATAGTCATTTATTGATTTTATTCGGACAATATCTCATCGCGGTGTATGATTGATAGTGTTGAATAAAAAAAAAAAAAAAAGGATGAAAGGAAAAATGGCTGACTGATCATCATCAATCAAATTTCCCTTTTTTTCATACTTATATATACTTATAATACTTCTTCCCTTTTTTCCAACCATTTTCTAAAAATTCATATTTTAACTTTTACTCTTTTATTAGATGCCATTTTTAACATTTAACTTTTTCCTTATTAAAAAGCTTCTCGTCCAACAGCCCAGAATTTGCGGTCATTTTGCTTTTCGAATTCAAATTTAAACTGAATAAAGAAAATTTGTTTATTATAAAATGAATTTTGACTTATTATAATTTTACTTACAAACGGAGTTTTTCTTAAAAAATAAA